CCCCCCCCCCCCCCCCCCGGTCCTCAACACTACACCTTAAGTTTCCAAACCCTGACGTCTCGATCATTATAGCTAGTCTCTATACTTTCATATGAAACACGTACAAGAAACAAACCTTGTAGGTAACGTCTTATTTTGCATGCAACCCCATAGACAGCATGACTCAAATTAGCCTGATCTCTTGACCTGAAACGGTGATACCCCCCTCCACAACTATATTGGATCCATCTAGAAGTCAAGACCTGCAGTAGAAGACAATTACGAATGAAAAACAAGCTTCTCTCAGAGATTTAATGGGCGCTTTCCATCGCCGCAGAGCCAAAGAGATCAACCTTTTGACACCCCAGGCATCACAATATGAAGCTATCTGGTTCTGCTTCTTCTTCTCCGTGTCCGCGCCGGTAGCAGGCTCGAAGAGCTTGTAGAAGTGCAGGACCTTCAGGGCTAGTATGGCTCAGATGGATAAATAATTAAATAAATTTACATGTTATAAATATATATATATAATTGAATTCGTGAGATCTATAGAACTTATATTTTCTAGAACAAGGCCTCGTGCTTCAACCACTGAACAGGAGGGCTCTTCGCTGTTGGACTTGCTGCCGCCCACACCCTCAAGGCTTCCTCAACCGCCGCTCTATTCATACTAAGTGTTCGTAAAGAGGCCGTGCCAACAAGCTCCTTCTTCGGCCAAATCAGAAGATGCCCGTGCTCCCGAAAACTCTGGCGAATACCAGAGTTGTTTTCCCAAGCCCTCGTCAACTCTTGCTCTGAAGGCCACACCATGACACCATTTTGTTCCTCAGCCTCCTCAGCCATGCTATCAGGTCCTATATGCCCTACCGAGCCTGTTCCAAAGCTGAGCCCGCTGTTTTGCAGGAATTGCACAGTTAAGCTGTCAAGCAAAGAATGATCGTGTGTAATCTATGTTACAGCAGCAGGCACCAATCGAAGCTGAACATGCCCTTGGCACTGGTCTGTGTATGGGAGCCCAGCTCAAAAGTATCTCCAGCAGGCTGAAGAGGATCCAGAAAATCTGACCTGTAGGCCGCTGCAGGCGTATAGCATGGGTTAATTTGTGCTTCAGGCTTTGCATGTTCTGCTTCAGGCAGAGTGCAGCCTCCAGCAGCCACCATTCGTCACCACAGTGCTGCCTGCCAGGCAAAGATTGACTGGGATTTATGAGGTTTTGGAAAATAGGGTCCCTCGCCTCAAAGCTGTAGCTTCACTCTACACGATCAGCACCCAGCCATGCCAACCTGCGTGGGGAATTCAATCACTCTATATCCAAAAAACTCGAGGCAATGAAGTCCACACGGCATGAGATCGGCATGTTTCGCTCGGCAAGGGATTTGCACGTGAAGCTCGATTTTGATCTATCCTTTCTTCTCAGCTGCAGGCTCGTCCTCCCGCAAGATGGTGCCACCTGCGCAAGATAGCCGAGAACTGCAACGAAAAAAGATGGACGTTCAAGGGTGGTCCGAGCTAACTAGTGCATGCATCACCATTGTACTGTCTGGCTGGCCTTTGCCAGCTTTGAACAGCTGAAGTATGTGCGAGCAGATGCCATCATTGTGGATGTTCTCAACAATCATCTTCATGAGCTCGTCGGCGGCTGGTATGGGCTCCTGGCAAAGACTAGCCAAGGGGAACGATTTATAACACTGGTACACTACATTTCATCGAATCTCCTTCTCGTCTTTGATCGCTTCTGTAGCTGCCACCCAAAAATCATCTGGGAGTTCCATGAGTCCTGCAACATGAACGACAGCCTGGTCGCCTATTTAATCACATACACAGGAACAGAGTACAGTACAGGTCCTTCTTTGTGGGCCAACTGAAGCCCACTGGCCGAGCATCCCGTCAAAATCGACATGTCACGACAGGAAGCCAGTCTCGTGAAAGCATATATATATTATGGATGACGAATGTTCCTGCACAATTGTGGTCATGAGCTCACTTGAGATAAGCTCGCTTGAGCGGGGCACAAGACTGCAATTGCATCTCATTTGCACATCTCCAGCTGCATGCACAGTGCAGGGTGGGCGCACCAGGGAATAGGTGCACGGTGCACGAGGCTTCTAAGGAACAAATCCTATTTGGGCTTCGGGATTTCTAGAATATACCTCCACGCCCAATCTATTTAGAGATGACTTTTAGGGATCTAGGGAGGAAAGGTTTAGGGTTTAGGGTTTAGGCCGATGACTTTGAGGGATCTAGGGAGGAAAGGTTTAGGGTTTAGGCCGATGACTTTGAGGGATCTAGGGAGGAAAGGTTTTGCGGTGCTGGGATTGTATGCCGCTTGGCCGTCGGGACTAGCAATCCCAAGTGCTGGGTTTCTTCGATTGTTTCCGTAATAAGATGATTTTGGGGTTGTAGGATTTAAGTATAGTGTTTGATCTGATACGGACATTGAAGTCTTCAGCTGGGGCGACCGCAAGCGATGCTTTGACTCGCAGCAAACGAGCAATGTTATGGAGTACATTTAGGGGTATATTAATGGGGTATTAGGGTTTTCCCTCCGAATCTCCCGGATAGCTTCCCTCTGACCTGCTCCTGCACAGCAGTGGCGACAAAGCGCCCCGAAAACCACTCGGTTGGAACCGAGCTCGAGTGTCACATGAGTGCATATGCACACATGATTACATGTGTCATATTATACATTATATGTGTGTTTGTGTGTGTGTGTGTTTGTGTGTGTGTGTGAGTCTGCATGTGTGTCCTATATACGAGTGCAAATACAGCAGTAGCAGCAGCAGCAGTACCACCACCACCACCACCAGTAGCAGCAGCAAGATGCACCTTAGTATGTGTACTCACTCTGAAAATGAAATGTACTCACAATAGTAGCACAGAAGCTCTGATACAAGCAATATACGATTCATGTCAGCAAAGTAGACGACAGATCACAAGATTCTCCGAAGATAAAGACACTAAGACACTGTAGTTTATCCAGCTTACCCCTGCAAACCGAAAAAAGTAATTAATCTTTTTTTTGGGTTTTTTTCAGAAAAAAACAGAAATTCTGAAAAGCATTGAAATAATGCATGGTTAGGTGGTCCAGGAATGCACAGATACGAAGCATCCTCAC